GTTCGTTGGTCGTCGATCAATCATAGCCATCCATTAATATTCTTCGAGTGTCGACTAATATCCTGCACGGAGTTAAAGAATATTCTTTCATAAGCTTTCTATGGCTTAACCGCGATACGCTAAATCTTCGACTTATCTGACCTCGTGTGTCCATTATGATAGAACTATTATAATGTTAAATCTTATCGATTACAATATTGCAAGATGTCTTAAAATTATTCAAAATAATTTTGTCGTTTACAGAAGATGCGTTTTGCGATTCTTCAGAAGATTAATTACATACATTCATACATTTTCTAAAAACTTGATTCTTCAACTCTCTCGAAATGCTTTTAAATCTGAATTCTATCAACAACATTGTCGAAAATCGATTAGTTCCTGAGTGTTTTATATCTGAATGAAATTTACTCGTGGAAAATTATTATTATAGGATGAAATATCATTACGGACTCGTCAGCCAACGAGGATTTAAGACGACGTTTGCTATTCTTCGTTGCAAAGAATTATTCTTGCGGTTTCCCTTGCCTGGATCAACTTCGTGCTTAACGGTCTTAAGCCACACATTATTTCTGAGGATTATTTTCTTACCGAAGCTTTTCCATCATCTCTTCAAATTAACATAAGCCCTCTATGTTGCAGCCAACATAAACGCCAAATAACAGCGAACTTATGAAAATATTTTTGCTTCGTATTCTTCTGATCATTCAATGAGTAAAATATCTCTGTAAAAATCATAATGGCTTATTCTAACTAAATTCCAAGCGAGACAATTATTAATTCTAGATTTCTTGGATTTATACCTCTCACCGATTTCCTAAGACTGCTAATGCGATCGTAATTGATCAACATTGTAATTTATCACGAAGCAGCATAGTGGTAGGCGACGAGAATAACGTTAACACGTTACTTTTCCTTTTTATTTTGTTCTTCTCTTTTCTACCTTCGAGTCGTTGCTGTTGCAAACGCAAACGATCCTAGTGGGCGAGTTTCCTGGCGACGGAGTTCGACATCGGCAAGGACGGCTACACATTCGATCGTTCGGTTAAGATACCTTGTAAGGAGGGACAGCGAGGTCGCTGTTCGGGAACTCTCCTTTCTTTCGGCCCTACATTCGTTTCTCAGAATCTGTCACGTCGATCACTGTGGGAAAAATGTGTGTCGCGAGCTGCAAGAAAAACACAACACACGGAGGAGGTAGCATTATACGTGGCGTGCGATGCGTGAAAACAACTAGCTGAGAGAAAATCTTTCATTCGCTCGTATGTAGGTTATCGTTCGAAGTTACATCACGTTGCTTCTTATTTATTGATAGATTTGTTACCACAGGTCTGTCGCCGCAGTTGCATTTTTTT